GGCATTGCTATCTGGGGTAGCATGGCTTTAACAGTCCGCAGAAAGGCACGAACCAGCCTTTCTGCAGGGAAAAAGAACAGTGCTAAACATGGGGCAGGAGGCGGGCGACCTGGCTCCTCCAGTGGTCAGTGGCGAGGTTGGTCCAGTGGCAGGAGGCGGGCGACCAGGCTCCTCCAGTGGTGAGGTTCGTTCCTGTGTTAGTGTAGCTTTATAGTGTGTGTGGCTTTATAGTGTGTGTGTGTGTGTGTGTGTGTGTGTGGCTTTATAGTGTGTGTGAGTGAGTATAACGTTACAGTGTGTTAGCGACTGTGGCTTTATAGTGGTGCTGACAGAATGACAGTGAGTGTGGTGGGGAGTGCAGCTGTAAGTAAGGCTTTGTGTGTGCGTGCCAAGGTTCCTGGCAGTACGTGTGATAGGTCAATCATCTCCCGTAGTTTAGGCTTACTGTGGTCCATGAAGTATATATCACAGAGAGGAAATCGTGTGGCTAATATTACTTCCAATAATAACTATACATATCCATTATTATTATTATTGCCGTGGTCTCAATCAAATATAACCAGTAAAACACTGTCACCTAAGTCCCTAGCACAAGATAAGTACTAGTAGACTCCAAAAGAAGAAATAAAGTGTGCAACACAAAACACGTATTATAAGTGGTAAAATTATGCTTTAATAAAAAGTGACACTGATTGTGGCAAATCTAGCCACTTATAGAACAGAACTGTATATTGTTTTTTTGCTATTAACCGTATTGTGCAATGTATGCGACATTCGTGTGTTACATCACATGAATACCGCTGATGTTCTTCCTGGTTATCCACGAACAGTGAATCACCGCACTGTTCGTGGAATAAGCAAAGTACCGAATGGGAGACCACCCATAGCAGGTCGTGTGTCTCCAATTGGGTACTTTGCAACATTGTATCCGTGCTGATTGAGGTCTGTTGCGGGTGGCCGCCATTCATGTACCGAAAACGAGGCGGCGGACATCTTTGTTTGCGGAAAGCCAGCGGGGTTTTGTCGTCAAGTGCCTGGCACTAAATTCGGCTACTCGGCAACACAAGCCCCACTGGACTTCCGAGCCGTTCGGGAGTTTTCTGCTTTCAGGACTTTTATTCCCTCAGTTAACACAACCATTTGAAACTAAGTGTTCTTGATACAGGAAAATGAACTGCGTTTGGTTATTTGTGCTGGGATCTGAGCGCAAGTTCCCTTAACTGTGCGCCCAGGTCCCTGTTATGTAATAAAGGGTTTAGTAGCTGCCTAGCAGGAAAATTATGTCGGTTATGGATTTTAATGTAAAAACTGTATTTCTCTGTACCAAGAGATAATCCCATTAGCAATGCATTCTGGGTTAATTATCTCCTTGGTACAGCAGTGTATGATGGGTATTCTGTCTGTAAAACTCAGTCCCCCATGTAGTCTCCTACTGGACAAACCCTGCAATGTGACTTGGGAAACCCCTTACATTTGTAACCACATAAATACTGTGCCCTGTGATTAAAACCTCAGTTGACCTCCAAGCTATGTGTCGTCTAGTTCTTGGGAGAAAGGGATTGTAACTACGCTACCTGGATTTGTACCTGCTTTATTCTGTCTGCCAGCGGAGATACCGTGGATAATACTACTACTCCGCTACAATTAGTGGCAAGCGACGGGATTTAAAACACACAGCAAAGCAGCGTTCAGCAGAAATTGACGCGAACAGAGGAAAAGAAACAGCAATTCGTGAGTTAACCATTCGGATGAAACCGGAGTTCGGTAATACGTGGAATCACATGAACAGCCGGTGAATGGAAACGAATTATGCACTTTTGAAATGGAGCACATTAAAGGAATTACTGGAGGCAAGAGGAACAATAGCCAGCAACAAGACAAAGGTGTGACGAAATGCCTTTTGTCCCTGGATTGTTAGGTGACAAGCTGCCCTTTGCCCCCGGCTTTTGGAGGAGCCTGATTGCCAGCCTCCTTCCTTATGACTATGGCCCTGGGGTGTATTGCCATTTAAAAAAGACTATTTGGGGCTTATTGGCTTCTAAAGACAGTTTCTTCCCATTGGAATCCATGGGAAGGTGTGTTTCTTCCCCTCCCCCGTTTCCTGTCTATTGTTCACCTAGATTGGGCGCTCAGATCCGAGCTATCTGGGGATAGGTTAAATGTGGGGGTTCTGTGTAATAAAATAAGAATTATGTATTTTTATGTACTTTTACATATTTTTGCTGTTAGTGTTAAATGTAGATATTTTCTGTACCTGGAGATAATTGAGTTTACTGCAGTGCCTTAAGCCAATTATCTCCAGGATGGAGAGGAGGGATTTCATTGTGTATGTGAGAGTGTTATCATGTTAATTAGTGTTCCCATTGGTTTGTGTCCCTTTTGTCACAGTTTACCACCAGGTCCAGGGGGTGTGCCTCTGACCTGAAAACTTGTATATAAGGAGTAATAAACGCTCATTGGAGTCAGATCATCTTGTACCTTCATGAAGTTTCGGCTCATGTTTGGGGGATTGGAGAAACTACACTCTGGGGATTGCTATAATCACTATACTCCCCAGGGTATAATCACTAAGCTCTGCTAAGAGCTTGTTCCTGTTCCTGCTCTCTGGAATTCGGAGAGAGGTCGACCTGCTGGAAGCTGGACCCTGGTCCTGGGTCCAGAGTGGGTGGAGACGGCGAGACCCCAACCAAGCTGCGGCGGTTCGTGGGGTCTGCAGTGGTTATGGTGTCAGGCAGAGTGCTTGGAGTCCTCGGAGAGCACTAGGAGCATCCGTCGGCGGAAGGTACCCGGTCGGGGTGCCAGCGTTTCCGTTACAGTGGTGGCAGCGGTGGGATGGTGTCCTAGTGCGAGGAGAAGCAGTGCAGAGGCACCGGTAACATTTGGCATTACAATTTGAGGGCAACGCTAGTATTCGTACAGCGCCCCTGTTCACAGCAAACATGACCTATCGTTTTGAGGGCGACGCTTACAGGGAGGAGGTCAAGAGGCGGTTAACCAGATATGGCCCGAATCTTTCGACAGAGGCAATTCTGGCAACCATGCGCAAGTTGGATGAGGAGAATCGAGCGGCATGGGAATTTGAGCTCCGATTGCGGAGATTGGGGCTGTGGCCAATTGATCTCTCTCCCCAGCGGCAGACAGCATCCCAGGGAGAGGAGATTGTCAGTCCCTCGTCCCTGCAACAACCATCATCACTGGGAGTTGAGACAGTCGCTCTGACTCCCCAGCGGCAGTGTGTTATCAAGGGAGAAGAGACAACCGGTCTCTCTCCCCAGCGGCAGTGCAAGTTACAGGGAGCCGAAGGTGTCGTCCTTCCTCCCCAGCGGCAGTGTGAATTCCAGGAGGCCGAAGGTGTCGTCCTTCCCCCCCAGCAGCAGTGTGTCCTACCGGGAGCAGAGACAGTTGGTCTCTCTCTCCAGCAGCAGGACAATGTTATGGGAGTGGAGACAGGCGGTCTCCCTCTCCAGCGGCAGACTGTGTTTCAGGGAGAGGAGCACAGCACCCTATCTCCCCAGCGGCAGCTTACCCTACCAAGGGGAGACACCATTCTCCCAGATGGCACAGAGGGGACCGTGGTCTCCGTGCCCGACCTACAGGGATGCTGGACAGCCTGTCCAGATCCCCAACTACCCTCACAGGGACAACAGGAGGAGGGGGTAAGTACGAATTCCCCTCCCCAGCTAACTCCTAACTTGGCCCCAGGGTTAACACAGGAGATGGTAACCCCCACTGACTCCCATGTTCCCCTGGCTACTGAGCCGGACTATGTTCCCAGCACCCCAGCAGAAGAGCTGACAGCTGGACAGAGTGCAGTCGGCCTCTGCCCTCCCTTTGACCCTTGTACAGAGCTTGACATTCTGCCGGCTATCCCAGCGCAAGAGCTGACATCAGGGCAGAGCGCCGCTGGCCTTTGCCCCCCAAGTACCACCAGCTATTTGCCCAGCTGCACCAGGAAGGCCGAGGATGCTGCATTTTTATCCTACAACCTGGAACCTACCGGCCAGTACTGTTTATTGTGGGGGGGCTACTTTGCCACTTGTTATTTGTGGGTGGGCTACTCATGTACTTGTTCACTGTGGGTGGGTTTATCGACTAACTCAGGCACTGACCGACAGGTCAGGTACCTGGTTAGTCTCCCCCCCAAAGGGGAGATGTGTGACGAAATGCCTTTTGTCCCTGGATTGTTAGGTGACAAGCTGCCCTTTGCCCCCGGCTTTTGGAGGAGCCTGATTGCCAGCCTCCTTCCTTATGACTATGGCCCTGGGGTGTATTGCCATTTAAAAAAGACTATTTGGGGCTTATTGGCTTCTAAAGACAGTTTCTTCCCATTGGAATCCATGGGAAGGTGTGTTTCTTCCTCTCCCCCGTTTCCTGTCTATTGTTCACCTAGATTGGGCGCTCAGATCCGAGCTATCTGGGGATAGGTTAAATGTGGGGGTTCTGTGTAATAAAATAAGAATTATGTATTTTTATGTACTTTTACATATTTTTGCTGTTAGTGTTAAATGTAGATATTTTCTGTACCTGGAGATAATTGAGTTTACTGCAGTGCCTTAAGCCAATTATCTCCAGGATGGAGAGGAGGGATTTCATTGTGTATGTGAGAGTGTTATCATGTTAATTAGTGTTCCCATTGGTTTGTGTCCCTTTTGTCACAGTTTACCACCAGGTCCATGGGGTGTGCCTCTGACCTGAAAACTTGTATATAAGCAGTAATAAACGCTCATTGGAGTCAGATCATCTTGTACCTTCATGAAGTTTCGGCTCATGTTTGGGGGATTGGAGAAACTACACTCTGGGGATTGCTATAATCACTATACTCCCCAGGGTATAATCACTAAGCTCTGCTAAGAGCTTGTTCCTGTTCCTGCTCTCTGGAATTCGGAGAGAGGTCGACCTGCTGGAAGCTGGACCCTGGTCCTGGGTCCAGAGTGGGTGGAGACGGCGAGACCCCAACCAAGCTGCGGCGGTTCGTGGGGTCTGCAGTGGTTATGGTGTCAGGCAGAGTGCTTGGAGTCCTCGGAAAGCACTAGGAGCATCCGTCGGCGGAAGGTACCCGGTCGGGGTGCCAGCGGTTCCGTTACAAAAGGCTACCCTTATTGCTGAGCTCATGGAAGGAGACAGAGCAGCAGCTGCTGCAGCACCTCCAAGGGAGGAGGAACAAACTGAATTTCAGAAAGAATTCAGGAGTAGGTTGGCCCTGTATCCAACCCCACCATCTCAAGAGACTTTCGACAGGATCATGACAGACGTATAAGAATACCTCATAGCCAGAGGGGTTCAACCAAATCAGCAAACCGACGTCATCCAACATGATCCAGGGAAAAACAAAGATTCCCTAAAAAGCTTTTAAAAATGTTATGGACACAGAGGGGGATATTGACGGATATATTTGCATGACTTTGAAAGACTGTGCCAGCTGCATATCATCAGGCCCCACGATCAGGTACCCCTGTGTGACGAAATGCCTTTTGTCACTGGATTGTTAGGTGACAAGCTGCCCTTTGCCCCCGGCTGTTGGAGGAGCCTGGTTGCCAGCCTCCTTCCTCATGACTATGGCCCTGGGGCATAGTGCCATTTAAAAAGTCTATTTGGGGCTTATTGGCTTCTAAAGACAGTTTTTGCCCATTTTAATCCGTGGGAAGGTGTGTCTCTTCCCCTCCCCCGTTTCCTGTCTATTGTTCTCCAGCAGGGCGTTGTCCCAGGCACACTGCCAAACCAGTTGGAACTGACTGCTTTTGTCCCTCCTTGGTTTTTCAACAGCCCTTGCTATGCTTTACCCCATGGCAAATTTACTCTGTTCATGGGATCTGAGCGCTGTTCACCTAGATTGGGCTCTCAGATCCGAGCTCTCTGGGGATAGGTTAAATGTGGGAGTTCTGGGTAATATAAAAAGAATTATGTATTTTTATGTACTTTTACGTATTTTTGCTGTTCGTGTAAAATGTAGATATTTTCTGTACCTGGAGATAATTGAGTTTACTGCAGTGCCTTAAGCCAATTATCTCCAGGATGGAGAGGATGGATTTTATTGTGTATGTGGGAGTGTTATCATGTTAATTAGTGTTCCCATTGGTTTGTGTCTCTTTTGTCACAGTTTACCACCAGGTCCAGAGGGTGTGCCTCTGGCCTGAAAACTTGTATATAAGGAGTAATAAACACTCATTGGAGTCAGATCATCTTGTACCTTCATGAAGTTTCAGCTCATGTTTGGGGGATTGGAGAACTACACTCTGGGGATTGCTATAATCACTATACTCCCCAGGGTATGATCACTAAGCTCTGCTCTCTGGAATTCGGAGAGGTTGACCTACTGGAAGCTGGACCCTGGTCTTGGGTCCAGAGTGGGTGGAGACGGCGAGACCCAAACCAAGCTGCGGTGGTTCGTGGGAGTCTATAGTGGTTATGGTGTCTGGCAGAGTGCTTGGAGTCCTCGGGAAGCACTAGGAGCATCCATCAACGGAAGGTACCCGGTCGGGGTGCCAGCGGTTCCGGTACAGTGGTGGCAGCGGTGGGATGGCGTCCTAGTGCGAGGAGAAGCAGCGCAGAGGCACCGGTAACATTTGGAATTACAATTTGAGGGCAACACTAGTATTCGTACAGCGCCCCTGTTCACAGCAAACATGACCTATCGCTTTGAGGGCGACGCTTACAGGGAGGAGGTCAAGAGGCGGTTAACCAGATATGGCCCGAATCTTTCGACAGAGACCATTCTGGCAACCCTGTGCAAGTTGGATGTGGAGTATCGAGCGGCATGGGAATGCAAGTGCCGATTGCAGAGATTGGGGCTGTGGCCAGTTGCTCTCAATAAATGAAAGGAATGGGACAGCCATAAAGGGGTTCTGCTACAGTCGGTCCCTCGTCCCTGCAGCAACCATCATCACTGGGAGTTAAGACAGTCGGTCTGGCTCCCCAGCGGCAGTGTATTGTCAAGGGAGAAGAGACAACTGGTCTCTCTCCCCAGCGGCAGCCAGCATTCCAGGGAGAGGAGATTGTCGGTCCCTCGTCCCTGCAGCAACCATCATCACTGGGAGTCGAGACAGTCGGTCTGACTCCCCAGCGGCAGTGTGTTGTCAAGGGAGAAGAGACAACCGGTCTCTCTCCCCAGCGGCAGCCAGCATCCCAGGGAGAGGAGATTGTTGGTCCCTCGCCCTGCAGCAACCATCATCACTGGGAGTCGAGACAGTCGGTCTGACTCCCCAGCGGCAGTGTGTTGTCAAGGGAGAAGAGACAACCGGTCTCTCTCCCCAAGCGGCAGCCAGCATCCCAGGGAGAGGAGATTGCCGGTGTAGCGGAGAGCTGATTTCCCATAGCTAAACTCCACTAATATATTAAGAGGATGCAGGAGCAAGTAATAAATCCAAGAGAATATCCAGCACAATCAGCAATACAATCCAATAATATCCCATCACTTTCCCCAATCACTGGACGACACACAGTATCAGGAGTAGAACTAACTTTTAATGGCAACATTCCTGCTTTTATGAGATTCTCCCATGCAAGGGAGGGATTCACCACAATAAGTACAGTAACCAATCCCATAGACGTTACCTCCCACACATCTCCTCCCCTTAGATTAGCACTTAACACAATTATACAAGGCATACTTTCCCCCACTTTTCAGATGTATCCCAAATAGGTGGAATATACCCTTAAACAGTCGGTCTGACTCCCCAGCGGCAGTGTGTTGTCAAGGGAGAAGAGACAACCGGTCTCTCTCCCCAGCGGCAGCCAGCATCCCAGGGAGAGGAGATTGTCGGTCCCTCGTCCCTGCAGCAACCATCATCACTGGGAGTTGAGACAGTCGGTCTGACTCCCCAGCGGCAGTGTGTTGTCAAGGGAGAAGAGACAACCGGTCTCTCTCCCCAGCGGCAGCCAGCATCCCAGGGAGAGGAGATTGTCGGTCCCTCGTCCCTGCAGCAACCATCTTCACTGGGAGTCGAGACAGTCGGTCTGACTCCCCACCGGCAGTGTGTTGTCAAGGGAGAAGAGAAAACCTGTCTCTCTCCCCAGTGGAGGCCAGCATCCCAGGGAGAGGAGATTGTCGGTCCATCATCTCTGCAGCAACCGTCATTACTTGTAGTCGGAACAGTCAGTCTGACTCCCCAGTGGCAGTGTGTTGACAAGGGAGAAGAGATTTAGAAGTTGTGCTGGGAGATCGGCTGAGCCCACCGGAGCGTACTTAGGTACAACAGCTGTTGAGAGAGAAGCAAGACACCTTCTCTAATGTAGTAAAAGTAGATTCTGATAGTCAAAAAATGTCTATCAGAAAATATATGAGAGGGAATAAGACAGAAAAGCTCTAAAACTGGAAGAAAAGGGGTTTCATCAAATCCCATACTTATTCATAAATAAAAAAGTATCCAGGAGCTTGTAACATATAACTAATAGAATATAAAGTGTATCAAATTACAAATATCAATATAGTCAAAAATGCTAAGAACATCTAAAAGAGAGAATTGCTAGATAGAGATGTCGCGAACCGTCTGCAAACTTCTCGCGAACAGTTTGCCACGGTTCGCGGCGAACCGTTCGCGGCGAACTCTGGTCAGCTGACACATCCCGGCCAATCTCCAGCAGACCCTCCCTCCCACACCCTCCTACTTCCTGGACAGCATCCATGTTGAAGGCAGCTTCAACATGGATGCTGTCCAAGAGGTGGGAGGGTCTGGGAGGGAGGGTCTACCGGAAATTTGCAGGGATGTGTCAGCTGACCGGAGTTCGCCGCGAACCGTGGCGAACTGTTTGCGAGAAGTTTGCGGACGGTTCGCAACATCTCTATTGCTAGATAGTCGCTTTGCATAAAAGTCCAAATTGTAAATGCATGAGGAATCAGTCCAAACATAAGAATAAATGCTTATAGCACATATAGTCCTTAAACATGTACCATAAATAACCTCTGACCTGTAGGGATATCCTTTACAGAACCAGATAAGGTACTTATGAATTCAATCTACATTCATATAAGAAGGTCTAAAATAAAAATAAAGTATCAAAATATAAACACAACCTAGGCTTGTTAGTATCACAAACTAACAGCCTAATTGACAGTTTCAGATAACGATCTAGGCCAGAGCCAAAAAAAAAAAGAATCGCAACTGTAACAGCCGAGATGGATACTAAAGTATTCCGTGTTAGTACCCTAATAATGCTAAAAATGTGTCCATGTACATCCAAAATGCCATAAAATACTGGGTAAAAAATATTCCACACAGATGTTCCAAAGTGAGAGAAGGTAAAAAAATAATGTAACCTGAACAGTTCGTCTGGATGGCTGAGGATGGTGATATTTTCCTTCCAAGTTGGTCCTGCAGCAGCCGGTGAGGACTCCGTCCGCGTTCTTTGGCACTTCACCTCTGACCTCACATCAAGAGGTGAGCCTCCAGGATGACGTCGTGTTGTGAATGAGGATGTCTGTAAATCACCAGAAACCTGTTCTCTCCGACCCGTTTGTGTGAAATCAAGAGTAGGTTGGAAGGAAAATATCACCATCCGCAACCATACATTTTCAGAATCAGCATACTCCAAATACAAACATATGTAAAAATCATCCAAATTGGTCCAGTGGTTCAAAAGACAGATCAGAGTCCTTTGTGACCAAAGGAAGCATGGCTTTTCTGCCCAAAACCAGTTCCACAGAGTCTTCTATCCTGGAGATAATTGGGAAGTAATCCAATTATCTCCAAGGACAGAGGCAAAACTCCATTGAACACATGGCAGCAAAAGACAATAAAACACATAAAAACATATAACTGTACAGCCATTGCACAAAACAGGTACATTCAACATATCCCCAGATAGCTCAGATCTGAGCGCACATTATTACTGAATGACACTCAGGTCACATACATACAGTTCAATTGCTATGGAGCCAAAGTCTTTTACATAGTCTTTCGTTACACAAATAGGCTCCACGGCATGGCTATCTGG